CCTTATGGACTGGTAGAATTAATACTGTAAAAATGACCATTCTACCAAAAATCAATTTATAAATTTAATGCAATCCATACAGTAACCACAAAAGAGTCCCAGATAGCCATAAAAATCCTGAACAGAGAAACAATGCTGGCAAGATTACCATTACAGAGCTTAAGATATATTGTATCTGTTACTGGCAAGACAGACATGTAGTGAAATAGACCCAAATCAAAGACCCATATGCGAATATATAACTTCAGCCACTTAATATTTGACAAGGAAGCCAGAAACATAATTTAGAGAAAAGAAAGTATCCTCAACAAATTGTTCTGAGAAAACTGGATATCCACATGTTAAAGAGTGAAATTAAACTCGTATCCATCACCTTAAACCTGGTAAAAATTAATACAAAATGAATAAAAGACATAAACCTGAAACCTCAAACATTGAAACTGCTAGAAGACAATGTACACATTATCCTAGATGATGTAGGTATAGGAAAGAACTTCCTAAATAGAATTCCCTTTGTGCAAGAGATAAGGCCAACAACTGACAAGTGGGACCTCTTGGAATTCAGAAGTTTCTGCATAGCTAAAGAAACAATCAATTGAGTTATAAAGAAACTCATAAAACTGGAGAGAAACTTGATAGCTATAAATCTTATAGAGCTTTACTATTCAGATTATTCAAATATGGAAAAAATCAATAAATTTCTGAGTAAGCTCAAAATGCAGGAGCACTCACATTTGTAAAATGAATATTACTAAAGCTTAGGTCACACATTGAACAACTTTGGGAATCAATTTTGCAGTTTCTCAGAAAAATTGGAATAGTTCTACCTCAATTCCAAGTTATAACACTCTAAGGCATAACCCAAGAGAAGCTTCACCATATCAAAAAGAATAACAGGTTTATTAGTAATAGCCAGACAGAAGGAGCAGGAGTTGTATCTGACTCAGTTGCCTGCCTTTGGATCCATTTCCCCTATCTGGACTTCATTCCCTAGCCACAATAGAAGATGTGTCTAGTCCACTGCATCTTGATATGCCAAGGTGAGTTGGCATCCATGAGAGTCCTCTCTTTTTTGAGCCTTTTCTGAGGACAAAGGAAATACAAGAGGATGGCAGGGAAGTGAGGTGAGAGGGATTACAAGTAGAGAAGGGAGGGAAAGCTATGATCAGGATGTAAATTTAATTAATTAATTAATTAATTAATTAAAGTATTCAAATGGGGAAAACATTGAAAAACTACTGCATTAGAAGTTTCCTAAAAATATACATAATATGAAAGGAATATAAATAGAATCAGCAATAATAAGGGATAATGCTTTAACTATAAATCTCATGCTATCAAGTACAGCATCCTGTACCAGAAATCAACTACATCTTGTTAAGTCATTGGCCCAAACCTCATAGGTATGACAATGTCAAGTTGTCTCTTTCTACAACATACAGTAAGGCCATCCTGCTAAGGACAACATTTACTTATGTAATGAAACATTAAGAAATAGAGCTGGTGCCTATAAAAAACTTCACCTCTACTGACTAGCATTCATGTTAATGGAAGGTACTTTACATGGTACTAGAAGGTATTCTGAATGCTACTGAAGGAAAAAGGTAATCATTAATGTTACCCAACTACAAATACTGAGACCTGTAGCAGTAACCTGCCTGTGAGATATAATGATACAAGAGGAATCAAAGGTTATGGGAGTTAACTATCCACTTTTCGATTGTACTTAAGGCCCACTCCATGAGATGGACCCAATTCCTTATACTGTTAAAATAGCCAAGATCTTGAGACTAGGTAGGATATGGGCCTACACAAAAACTATTATGCTGCAAAAGGAACATACCATTAAAAGAATATATCATAATGGCATAGTGCTATACTCATAGATCACTACTGTATTCAACCCTCAGCAGAGGAGATTCTTCTTGCTGTAGTTGGAAATTAACACAGAAACTCACAACTGGAGAGTGATTACAGAGTGAAAGACTTTGGAACACTCAGTCCTAAATAGGATGCCTTCATCAAAGCCCTCTCCTTGGGGCTCAAGAATCTATGTGGAATAGAAGGAAAAAAGATTGTAACAATCAGAAGTGATGCATGACTCCAAAGAAATGCTGTCTTTTAGGCACAACATAATTGACAAACATATTAATTTTCAGAGACTATAGCAGCATACACAAGACATGCGAAGGTTCAATTCAGATAGAGTCCTACCACTGAGATGGGGAACTAAACAAGGTATGTCACCTCTAAACAGGAAGCTATCTGCAATGGATACTTGCTGGCAAAGGAAAATTGGGTTTTCTCCAATGGAGTGTCACTGTTATGTTAACCACCCTACAGAACAGACCCACATCTTGGAGTAGTTTCTTTCATTGTTTTCATGCTTTGTTTTGGCAATTTTGTCTTATTTATCTTTTGTTGATTTTGCTTTCCAAGTTTGTAGGATTTGGTGTGTTTTGTGCTGTTTAGGTTGTTTTGTTTTTCATGTATTTGAAGTAGAGGCAGAAAGAAAACAGAGTTTGGAGGATATAAAGGTGGGGAAGATCTGGAAGGAATTATGGAAGGGGGAAAACATTATCAAAATATATGAAAAACTTAATAAAAATATTGTTATTGCAAATAATATTAAACTAAAATCCTAAAAACTGAACATTAAAAGCTAGGATCCACAAATAACAACGATCATACAGTAGTTTGTCTTGCTGAGTCTGGGTTACCACATTCAGTATAATATTGTCCAGTTCCATCCATTTATCTGCAAATTTCATAGTTTTATTTTTCAAGATATTTCAGATGGTTCTACATCTGTTTATATAGTTTTCTGACTGTTTCAGAATACTTGGGGTCTTTTCTGGTCAGGGATGTGTCCTTAGTACTTACTCAGGACTTTAACCTTCCCGTCTTGCAATCCATTTGTTTCTATTTTATTTTATATGTCTCCTCTATATATTATTTTATAAAAACAAAATAAGATTTTTAACAGACATATAAAATAAAATCTTTCACATAATTATAAGATGCAATATGATGCTTACTGTTTTTAAACACTGTGGATTATTTAAATCTGAGTGAATATATCGTCTAAAACATATACACTTTGTTTATAATGAAAACATGCAATATCATTTTCTCACATTTTTCAGATGTCAGTTCATTTGTGTTATACATAGTCACCCCTCTTGCTGTATAAAACAATAGATTTTGCCCTCATCTAACTATGGCACAGTATCTAATAAACACCCTTGCTTCACTGAACACCATCTTGGGTCTGTACTCTCGGCTCTCTCATTTTTACAATTCTACTTAAGTTTAAATGATAAAACTATTTTAAAATTCAACTTATGAGTAATAAAATTAATATGTAAATGAAACAAATCTCTATACATAATGCTTTTCTTATTGCTTGTGCTCTTGAGAATCTTATTAGTTGATGGACTATTCATATAGCCCTGCCTCATTCTTTGGATCTGAATGAAGACCTAGGCTTCTTTCTTTGTGATTACTTTTACTATTTACCTCTTTGGTTCTTATTTATGTGTGTCTTCTTATTGATTTTTAAATCTTCCATGGCAAGTATATAAGCTGGGCTTTCCATTGCTGTGAAGAGACACCATGACCAAGGTAATTCTTATAAAGGGCAATATTTAATTAGGGCTGGCTTACAGGTTCAGATAGTTAGTCCATTACCAACATGGCAAGGAGCACAGTAGCATGCCGGTAGGCATGGTGCAGGAGAAGCTGAGAGTTCTACATCTTGTTTGAAGGCAAACAGGAGAAGACTGTTTACAGGCAGCTAAGAGGAGGGGCTCAAATCCCACCATTACTGTCACACACTTCCTCCAACAAGGCCACACCTCCTAATAGTGACACTCCCTGGGCCAAGTATATTCAATCTATTACAGCAAGCATCCAAGAAAATGCCACCCCATTCTGAATTCTTAGTCATTTTACCTCTGAAGGCCTTGCAGGGTATAGGCTAAGTCTCAGTAACAATGTAAGATGTGGAAAGGGAAGCAAAAAGTAGAAATCTCAGGACAGGTGTGCTATCACACATAAAATATAATAATCAGTCAGCTCTTCTATGCAAATGTGCATAAATTCTACAGGACAAAGAATGAGTCTTATGACTTGTCGTCCTTAATCTTTGAATTTTAATTACATTGACAGTGTTGATAGTGAGACTGCCAAGCAGTCACTCTTTTTTTCAGGCAGTGTATGGCACAGGCTGACCTCAAAATCACTATGTGGGTCAGGTTGGTTTCATACTCACAAACGTTGTGTTTCTAATGTACTATTCACAATAATTCAAAAATTAATAATTTCATTGCTTATTCTTTGGATTGTGTATGAAAATGATTGTTTGGGGCTTCAGGCCTTGAGTTTATTAATAAAAATACATTTAGAAATAGTAATCAAAAATTAAATAAGTGACCCATGGCCTGATTCATGCTTGGAGGACTACAACAATGTAGATTTTAGAGAAATTTAGACAATGTAGTTAATCCTTCTGTACCAATCGTGCAAACTTCAGAAATTAGTAGGTTGTTTTACTACAGAGTGAATCTGATAAAGCCTGTCATATAGGATTTGGGTATGAAATGGATCTAAATCACATGGCAAAAACTGGGTCTTTAATTAATGGAAGTTATTGCTAAAATTATTTTGGCCTAAGATGGTAAAAATCATTCTCTTACAGAATTCTATTTTAAAATTCTATTAGACAATAAAATTTTGTTAAAGAATATACAAGAATCTATTAGATTCTTAATAGAACATTCAGAGATTCTCTTTGTATTCTATTAGAGAAGTTACAAGGCACTCATAGTTGCATGGACCATTTATCTTCAGACAACATGGTGATGATGTAGATTTCCAATATTAATTAGTTAAAAAAAATACTAGCTAAAAGCATACCTCTAGGAAACCATGAAACAATTAATACATTGAGTAATCAACTCCATGTTTGTCTCAATAGATATTACAAACAATAGACAAAATCATACAGCTAATTAGTTTATTACTGTATTTGTTTCACCAATGTGTGGCATTACATTTCCATGAGAATCACTTTTACAAATTCATGTTTTCTTATGTAATTCTAAAAAAGAACTTGTGAAAAATTTTCAAGTTGTTTTTAAAGTAACAGAACTCTTGGTTGTAACATTGAAATGCAGCAATAAATTTATCAAGCATAGCATGGAGAAACAAAGATTGTGAAACAAATTAACTTTCCATCAGTAGAACATTTGCAGTTCACCAAAGCAAATATACATATCATTTACTCATGTATAAACAAATAAAAGAAAACATATGCTTTATTCCTGTAACCCATAAACTCTCCACTACATAGAAGGTTGACTACATTTCAAACAGGAATTGAAAGCTCAACTTCAGTTGCAGCTATTTGTGGGAAAAGCTGCAGGACATACACCTGGGATGAACCCTGTCCATTGCAGCTGGGGGACCCAAGGCTAAAGATCCCCGTTGTGTTCTCTCCATTTGTTCTTTAAGAGCTTCTTCATACGGAACAGGGAAGAAGCTAGGAACGGTGTCATTGATCTTAGCCCAAACTTCAAGGACTTTCATTTTACTGGTTTCTAAATGGGCCCGAAAACCCCACAGGAAATCATATCTTGGGGATTTACCCTCAGACATCTTGCGGATCTCAAGGTAATTTTGCTCAACCAGATCTTTGGTGATGAGCCTTCGGGGTTCCCCAAAAATCATGTGCTTCCTCCCTGCATACACTCCTAACACATTCAGGAATTTCCAGATCTCATCCTCAGTGGCACGGTTGCCTTTTGTGAAAATCAGACCCAAGATGGTCATCAAAAGACCCATCTTTGGCAATCCCCTCTTGCCACTTAGAATTTCAGCAGTGGAGAGACCTAGCTTGCTGACAATGGCATAGGATTGACTACTGGTATTGATTTTCTTTAACTGCATTCCAAAGATCATTTCCATTCGGGAGGAAGATTTCCTCAGGATGTCAGAAAACTGTGTCTTGTATTTCTTACTGACCACTCTCAGCATATCAGCATCTGTAAACTCTTCACTCTTCTGAAACTTCTCCAGCAGGAACTCTACCAACATACTAGCCTTCTTGGTAAGAGCATCTGTGCATATCGGCTGAGTGATGGCTTCTGCTTTGAAGGTACATAGACTTTCTGTATCACCACTACCAGTAGGAGCCTCAGCACCTAGATCAGAGCCTGTGCTGGATATATCTGCATCAGGAGATGCAGAAAACACAGCTCTCTGAGGAGTGGAAGCCCCAGAAAAGCTTGGGGAATTAGCTTGGCTAACAGGAAGAGACGCTGACCTTCTGCCTGAAGTAGGGTGATCACTCTGGAGACCTTGGCTACCCCCACGTCCACGGTGACGTTTAGCATGGGAGTGGCCCTTATTCTTGTGGCCCCTTGGCATGACAACAGGGGTCAGAGGCAACAGGCAGGGCTGTAGTCAGGAGAGCTGGCAAAGCAGGAACCTGGAAGAATAGAATGACAATATGTGAGCACCATACCATTGCAAAGTAGTGAACACCTTTGCTTTTAGAAAGGTCTCCTTCATTGCTTTCCTGTAGGGCAACATACTGTGTTCCTCTTCTCCTGTTCAGCTTGGTTAGGACTACTATTCTCTTTGTCTGCTTGAATCCCAAGAACCCTGCAAAAGAAAATAGTTTATTAGATTGCTGTATGATAGCCTAGTTACCTAGAGTGAGAGAACAGGCTGTTCCCACTAAATAAGAATAAAAATGCTCATGATCTATATTCCCAACTAGGTATCCACAGTTATTAAATTCTGAAGAGCCACTTCCCTCTGTTACTCTGAAGTTCATTCTACAAACTTCTCTAGTTGCACACAGGAAATTTTAACAACCACTTCACTGCTACCACTTTATTCAGAGGACCTCAGGACTTGTAGTGCTGCATCAGAGGAGATATTGAAGAGCTCTTGTTGCTGTTATCAAGAGTATGATTCCCATACTCCGCAGACCCAAAGAAGTTAAACAAGAAGGAAGGCCCAAGCAAGGAGTTTGAATCTCACTTAGAAGAAGCAATAAAATAGTCATAAGAGGCAGATGGAAAGAGGGAACTGGATGGGGGATGGGTAGGGAAATGGGGAAATCAGGATCAGATGTGGGGGGGGGGGACAGGAAAGATGGCTAAATGGTCATAAGAATGAATGGAAATCTGCAATTTATAGGGGTGAGGAGGTGGGGGCATATACAGGGGGAGACAGAGACCTAGGATAATGAAGTTTCACAATAATCAATGGGGTTGACCTTAACTGTGACTCCCAGCATTAGGCATATGGAACCTAAAGAGACCCCCTCCTGAAGCCAGGCAGGAACCCCAGTGGAGCAATAGACATACCAACTCACGCACAAAACTTTCAACCCAAAATTTATCCCATCTGCAAGAAATGTAAACACAGGGGATGGAGCAGAGACTGAGGTAATGGTCATCCAATAACCAACCCAACTTGAGACCCATCCCATGGCCAAGCATCAATCTTTAGCATAATCAATGATACTTTGTTAGGCTTGAAGACAGGAGCAAGTTGTCCTCTGAGAGGATCCACTTACCAGCTGACTCAGACATATATAGACACCCATAGTCAAGCAGTGGATTGTGGACCCCAAAGGAGATAGGAGTTCCACAGGAAGACCAAGACAGTCAATTAACCTGGACCCTTGGGGTTCTCAGAGTCTGACCTACCAACCAAAACTTACATGGGCTGGACCTAGGCCTCCTTGCACATATGAAACATTTGTGTAGTTTGACCTTCATATAGGTCCCGAACAACTGGAATGGGGGATATCCCAAACGTTGTTTCCTGTATGTGGGATACATTCTAGCTGAGCTGCCTTGTCTGGCTTCAGTGGGAGAGGGAGCCCCTAGCATCCCCAAAACTTCAAGTGTCAAGATGGTGGCATAACTGGGGTTGGGGGAACCTACTCAGAGAAGAAAGGGAGAAAGGGAGAATGATTGTGGCAGGAGTGACTGGAAGGGGGCAGTGAGCAGAATATAAAGTGAATAAGTAAAAAGAAAATAAATATTTTTTTAAAAAAATGATTATCACAATAAGCAAAGTCCTCAGCAGGCAAAGCCCCTTACAACAAAGCTCTAATCTCCCTATTCTACCAGACACAAAGGTGGGTAGTATATCATTTTTTGTGGATGCCTTGATCCACAATTGCTATAATACAGATTTCTGCTATCTGCCCCTCTCCCAACTAGTTATGGAACACTAAATCTTTAAAATTTGACAATTAACCAGTTTGTAATGCTGCAAGTCTCAAGAATTCCCCTTTTGCTGCCAGAGTCAACCAGCCTTACACCTAAGACTTCATTCCCTTAGAGACCATTGGGAAAGATAATGGCCTCTGGTCCTAGCTGCCAGCGTTCTAGAACTTCAGAGACAAGAGTAAGGGTGAGGCCTCTGTGACCTCCTTTACAGGATTAATTATGGTTTAGGGGAACTTACAAGGGTTTAGTGTTGTCACAGTTTTAATTCAAATTATCCCCCAAGGCACATAATAACACTTACAGGTCTTTCTTACTTGATCACAGGCCACAGACGAAGACCTTGACTCAAAGGCCGTGAAAGCGGAAGTCAGAGTCCTCTTCTTCCGGTTCCCTGTGCTCCCTGCCCCCCAACCCCCACCCCGCTCTGCCCCTTGACCCTTTTCTAAGTGGCCAGTTCCATTGTTCAGGTAAGGGGAGGATGTTCTCAGAGAAAAAAAATGTTTTTTTTTCCTGTTGATTTTTTCACAGGGCTGGGACACCTCTTGAATGAACTGAGAGTAGAACTAAACATCTCATTTCTATCAGAGTCCTAAATAGAAAGGAAGATGAAGCAATTTTGAGTTTATGATTCATGCCCACCACCTTGTCATTAATTATGGATAAGTCTCTAGGTAGTCAGTCTTCTTTTGAGAAGAAAGCCCTGCATCTTCTTAAAGTTTTGAATACTTTCCTTCCAGGAATACCTACATAGCCTAGGGTTGTCTGAAACTTTGATCATCCTTCCTCAGTTTCCAGAATCCAAAGTTAACACTAATGTTCCACAGTGCTTGGTTGCTACAAATATTCTAATTAGATATTAGCTTGTTTAAAATTTTTATTTTTATTTTGAGGCAGCGTCTAACTATGTAGTCCAAAGTAGCCTCAGACTTTCTGTATAACAAAGGGTGGCCTCAAACTGAAAATCCAGCTGCCTCTGTGTTTTTAATCTTCCCACTGAAGGCCTGAACACCTAAGCTCTTATCTTGATTATATATAAGTGCTTGGCTACTTCTCTATTGAAATTCCTAAGGATTTTAGGCCAGCCACTCAGAACCGGACTAATGCTTACAACTGCTGATATGAAATACTATAAGCTGTATGTGACCACTTCTGACTGGATTGATTATTGTAGGTAAGTCAGCATGAGGGGAAGATAGATGCTTGTTGGCTCCTTTGTAATTTGATGTGTGACGTCCTTCTCTCCTTATGCAATGTCATGATACTGACTGCTGGCTGGGCCTGGAAGTACAAATTTTCTGATATGAAATTATCTCTTTCCTCTAAACAAGGTGTTACACAATAGCACCTAAAGGTAAAGGTGAAAGTGCGTCTTGACCTAACATCCATGATTGGGTCCTATGTAATTTTGGCTTTATGATATGCTCAAGATTTGTGACTTGAGTTTCCACTCGTATCAGATGTAGTCAGAAGACTTGATACTTGATTTCCTGTTCATATTTGTGGGTATATTTTGTTAAATATGAGATTAAAGTAATAACCAGGTATCATCCATTAATATTTTATGTTTTTAGTGGCATAATCTCTCAACACATTTGCTTATACAGGCTTCAGATCTGCTTCTACTTCTATACATATTTAGTGGCACTGCTGTTAATTATTAATATCTTTTATTTACTTCACAATTTTTTCATGGTTTATTTCAATCATGGAAACAGCTGTTTAAGGGCAGTTGTCATTCATATATTCATTAATGTAAAACAGTTAAATGTGTGAAAAATTAAGATTTAGTGACATCTTTACAGTGATATCATATGTGGCAAATAAACAGTATACATGGTAATGCAGATATATTTCTTTCCTGTTTTATGAATAGGTTGTTATATCTGCTCTATAAAGAATTTTTACATTTATATTTACTTTTATATTTTGTACAGTTAGAATATTCTTGATGTTTTGAAACTTGTCCTTTTTATTAGATGATTAACCAAGACTTCTAAATATATATTTTTTCATTTGTTTTTAATCCTGCACATGGTCATGTTTGTTTTAACTTCTTTTTTTTTTTTTGAGACAGGGTTTCTCTGTGTCGTCCTGGCTGTCCTGGAACTCACTCTGTAGACCAGGCTGGCCTTAAACTTGTTTTAACTTCTTAAGGAAGCACTAGCTTCCAATGTACTATTTTCTAATGTGAATTCACCCTTTTGTTTTTATTTCACACATGCACAACACAACACAGCCTATTTACACTTGTGCACTACAAAATTATATATACCTGAACTTGTAGAAAATATTATTTTCTCTGTGAGTAAGCTCTCTTACCTGCCAGTTAATTGGTGTATTGTCATCTTGTCTTTGAATAAAGGGAAACTAGCCTACTAAAATGGTTGAGTGATTATAATTACATAATTTCCCCTATACTTTTCTACTTCTGTCATCTCTAATATCCTTGTTCTCTTTAAAATTTAGAGATATAAAATATCCCTAAATTCTGTGTACAGCCTGATAAACCTGTATAATGCTATTTATATGTATATTTTCAGAGCTGGCCATTTGCTATTGGATAACCAAGTAGTGTGCCTTCCATGGGGAAAACTATTGCTTTTAGGATTCCCTATCTGCCTGTAATTATTTAAGGTAAGGTTGGAGCTTCACAGGCATTCTCTAGTCCACTTTGGCATGCCAATTGGTGTTGTGCTTATTCAGCTAATATTTAGGTAGTCATGCCAGGGGGATTTTATATTTATAATCTAAAAAAAATGAAATAATTAAAAAATACTAAAGTGATTTTTAATATTTTTACATGATTTGGATGGAGATAAATGAAATGGAAATGTGTTCATTTCTTCATACCTAATGAGATAGGTCCATAAGCCAGGCTTGTCTAGAACACTTTTTGAAAGTGTGATGGACAATTTATTTAATATACAACTTACAGTCCATTGGTTTTCTGCTCCTCTAGATCCTCTCTCTCTCTTTTTTTTTTACTTTACCAAACAGAAAACATTAAATTTCAAAAGGAGGTGGGACACTATATATGTTAGTGTTCTGGGATATCTTTCTTTTTCTCTTCTTCTTTTTTTTTCATATAACTATTTTTTTATGGGATATTTTGTTTACATTTCAGATGTGATTCCCCCTTACCCCTTTCCTCCTACCCTGGAGCCCCCAATCCTATGCCCCCATCCTCCTGCTTCTATGAGGATGTGCCCCCACCCACCCGCCCAGTCCTACCTCCCCACCCTTGAATTTCCCATCACTTGGCGTCCAGCCTTCATGGGACCAAGGATCTCCTCTCCCACCTATGCCCAACAAGGCCATTTTCCCCTACATATACAGCTGGAGCCATAGGTCCCTCCCTATGTGCTCTCAGGCTGGAGCTCTGGTTGGTTGATATTGTCACTCTTCTTATG